AAAAAAAAAAAAAAAAAAAAAAAATTATATAGTAAAAAAAAAAAAAAGGGTTTAACACACTCCTGGTCTTGCACTCTCCAAAGGGTATTCCAGCTGCCTGTTCATGTTGGGTTTGGAAGCTTGAGTTGAAGGTATGCCAGAGTGAAAGACTAGCCACTGAACTCAGAGCTGATCTGTCGAAGATTCAGAAGGTTGTGGTAGTTTCTAGCTCTGTCCTGAACAATTGGTTGGCATAGAACACAGAAGAGAGAGAGACTCAAGGTACATGTTTTTGAATGATTTTATAATAATACTTCTAAGTGCTCACATGTTGATTATCATTCTGGGTCCCTAAAGCATGTTCATGAGTAAATTGAGTCTTGCTAAAAGAAAGTTATTTGAGGTTCTGGGTTGAACTCAAGAATGTGAAAAAAATGGCTTGAAAATCGGATGTGAGGCTTTGTTGATAAGTGTGCACTAATGGTTTTGTGAAGTGTTTCAGGTTCGTGGGCTATTAAATTTATTTCAGGTGAAGCCCATTTGTTTCAAAGCCCATAAGATTGCTAAGCATATTAGGAGGGAAATATTAGGGTTAAGTGTTAAACGTGGAAGTTGAAAGGTTTTTCGAATTTGTGCTTCTCTTATTCTCTCAACTTCACGAGTTTGAAACCCTAAGCCAAGCACGACCGGCGACATGAAGTCCATCTTCAGCGGAATCCAGAAGCTTGTTTCGAGCCAGTCGCCAGAACCTGTTGCGTCTCCACCGGAACAGCAGATTCCGACGGAAATGCAGTCTCCGACGGACGAAGAGCAGGTCCTCAGTCCGCAGGAAGCCGAGTCGATGGAACAGCAGGTCCCGTATTCAGTCACTCTTCCTGATTCAGAGGCTCAGGATCTAGAGAAGCCTGAATCTCCCAAATCGCCAACGGCTGTTGATGACGATTGCGATTCCTACGTAAACCCTCATAGATCCCAACCGGCTGAGCGAAATGAACCAAATCGGGTTCTGGAAATTGAAGAACTTTCTGATGGTTCTGATTCGGTTCAAGTAACCGGAACCACTAGGCCGTCTGTCTCGTCTCGAGTAGTGAAGCGCAAGCAGTCAGCCGCGATGCCTTCTGAGCAGAAGAAGCGGCGTCAAACGACTCGAGGAAAAGGAGTGGCTGTGAAAGGCGAACTGTCTTTGGAATTTGATCAACCCCGGTTTGGATCTGCTGTTGCTTTTCAGAGGTATGGTTCTTTTACTTCTCGGAAATTGCATGCCGAGGTGAACACCACTTTTGGAGAGATTGATGAGGTTAGGGAACTGATAGATGCTGCGGGTCTGCTTAGAACTGTATCTGCGAGTAAGCCTTTTGATCCCCAAGTTGTGTATGAATTTTGGGCGAATCTGCCAACTGTTGAGCCAGAGACAGATTCAGCAGAAGTTTTAGTTCGAAATTGGGTGTATGAGTTTAGTCCTGACAGGATTAATGCGTTGTTTGGACTGCCAGCTGTGGATGAACGCACAGAACAACGGCATATGGCTGAAGTGATTACCTCAGACATAGCTCTGTTTGTATCTGGTGGCAAGGCCAAGGTCTTTAAGCAATTTCAACTGTCCAAGGTTGAAAACAACAACATCAAGGATCTTCTCAAGATCTGTTGTACGAATTGGCTGCCTACTACCAATGATGGATATGTCACTCCGGACAGAGCCAAACTCGTCTACAAGGTGATGCATCAGAAACCGTTTGATTTTGGGAGGATGGTTTCAAGCTGATCATCAACATGGGTCTGGTTCCTGTTTCCAAGATGTGTCTGCCGTTTCCCAGTTTGATTTATCAGCTGATCCAGTCACAGCACCCTGTTCATCCGGATGTATCTCAGCCAGTGCCAAAGTCCAACAAGAAGGGCAAAGCGAAGAGAGGACAGCCTGCTGAGATTCCAGTGTGCTCTTCAGATGATCGCAAGGCTTTGCGTTGTGCAATTCAGATCATGCAGCGTATCATCGATGCAGGTAAGTGTTTCTCCATCCAATCTGTCATTCGTGTGATCCATAAGTTACTTGTTTTTGACTTAGTTGTGCAAACAAGCAGGGGGAGATGATTCTGATTCTGATGATCATAGGACTGGTTGATTTGTGGGGGAGCATTTGTCCTGGGGGAGCAGTTGCTGTTGTTGTTGCTGTTTTTTTTTTGGTTGTTAGCAACAATGTGTTTTGATTACAGAACCTTGTTTCATTAGCTCTTAGCTTTTGGGTCTGTAATATGTTTAAACATGGCATTTTAGGATTTCTAATTTTTGGGATTTATGCTAGTTATATTACTAGATGTTTGCCTTGTTGCTGTGTTTTGGTTTTGTCTCTCTGTGACTTTCAGGTTTATCACAAAGGATGCTTGATTATCAAACTAAGTAAAAAAGGGGGAGATTGAAGATGCAGTTCCAGAACAGCTTGCTGTAGAGATCAGGAAGCTGCATCTGTTCAGACGCCTGAGACCACATCAGACGCCTGGGATTACATCAGACACTTGAAGTTGCTGACATGGAGTCGTGAGATGACGTGGCAAAGCTTAAGTGGATGGAGTGACGTGCTAAGGAAGATTTCTTGCTTGGAAGCAAAGATAGAGACGAATTACGTGTGAAGATATGGTGAATATTCTTTACATCAAATAAGGAAAGGATAAGCTTGACAAGCAAGTATATTCCGTTTCGGTGAGATCCTCGAAGATCCTAGGGTTAGGGTTTCGGGTAGTTAGTATAAATAGTCTAGGGTTGGCCACGAGCCACTTTGAACACTTTAGACTCTTTGTACGTGATTGTAAACTTCGAAGCTAGAAAAACAAAAAGCTGAGAAGGTGAGTGTTCGTTTTCTCTTGGGACTACACGAGGTGTAGGAGAGATAGGTTTAGTGCTCGTTCTTTAGTCGGGTTCAATTCTATTGGGAGGAATAGATTGAGTAAGAGCCGAGACAAAATTGTATCTTAGGAAAAGATAAATTTTGTTAATAAAGATCGAAGGAAAAAACGTTTGCTTGGCGCATTCCAAGCGTAACTGTCTGTGTGTCTCTCTATACGTTTTTACAAACCATCTTAGCTCGATGGAAATCAACAAAGCTCAGAAGTTCAAAGAGAGATCTGACGATATCAAGAGGGAGCTCCGACCAGTTGAGGGTTTCCATTGTGTTTGGTAATTGTTAGGTTTGGTTTCGAGAGAGATACTACTTCTTGTAAATAAATAATTAAACCTTGTGGTTGTATTAAATATTCAGTTGAAAGCATAAAATTTCTATAACAACTTACTAATAAAGAAAAGCCCAATAAAGAAAAGATTTAGTGATATTGTTATACAATATAAAGTTATAAACAGGAGAAAATAACTATATAATTATCCTTATTTTTTTTATAGAAAAACCAAAATAATTATTCTGATGTTATTAGTTTTAACGAGACCAAACCTAAACCGAAAACATAATTAAAATGAAATCAAATAGACTTTTAGATTTAACTATAACCAAATGAAATCATTTATTTCGGTCTGGTTTAGTTCGTTTTTTTTTGGGTTTGGTAAGGAAATATAGTTATTTTTACTTTAAATTTCCAATAACTAAGGGGTACCATTACAAGGCTAAAAGTCTGGCCACATACCCAAAAAAAAAAAACATAACAACTGCCAAGAAAAAACAAACAACCAGAACACATGAAGTGAGAAATCATAATCTTCACATATAAACTTTCCCTTTATAAATTTGGATGCTTCCTTTAATTAATTACTTTGTATCCCTTCCATTTGACATTTTTACTAGTGTATGCTTTGTAATTAGTTAATTATTTAATTCTTATATTTATTGTAAACCAAAGTGATAAACACCAAGTGATGGTGATGTTAATATGAGTAAACCCATCCCATTTTAAACCCACCCCATTAACCTCAAATCCATTTAACGCCGTTTAAGTTTATACCCATTTAGTCCTAAACCCATTTAAATCCGATCTACCCATTTAACCCACTTAGACCATCCCCAATACTAAAGTTGTAAACAAGTTTTTTAGCATTATTCTAACTATAAAAAGTACAAGTTATGAAGTTAAGAAATTTTTGAAAATGAAAAGAAATATATGCTTCCAATGGTAAAGTTCTAAATTCAAAGTATTTAAGATTATATTTTAAAAAACATGTTTTAAAAACAAGCTTGAAATACAAAACTCAAACCAATAAAATGCCTACACCTTGCACTAAGAACCAACATCTAAATTTCTTAACTAAGATATATTTCTTAGCTTAATACATATTTTTGATTTAGTTTATAACTAAGAAACTTGGTAACATACTTGCATTGGACATGTTAGACCCATATAATATTCTATTGTAAATTTATAATATAACTAATAATTTTTAAAAATCACTGATTATTGATTTTTTAAAATATAAGTGATAAATAATAATAGAATTATTTTTTACGGTTTTTGCGGAAGTACACGCTTTTGTGATTTTGGAAGAAATCATGTTTTAAGGGTTTTTGGTGAAAAACGCGTCTTCATAGTTTTGGCGGGAAAATAGGGATATTTTGTTTGGCGGAAAAACTCGGAGTTTACGGTTTTGGCTGGAAAATACGATTTTTATGATTTTGGGGGGGGGGGGGGGGGGGAAGGACAGTTTTAAGGTTTTGGTGGGAAAACACGATTTTACGGTTTTGGTGGTAAAACACGGTTTTACTGTTTTGGCAAGAAGATGAAAAATTACTATGTTTGTCTAGAAACACAGTTTGAATTTTGTTTATTACATAGTTTGTGAATCATGTCTTGGTATCCATCTATGCGACAACAGTATAGTCTTTACTCTTTAGCTTATGACCACTTTTATAAATTGGTTTTTCTAGAAAACTTACTCATATTGTTTAATTTTTAATGTTGGCTACTAATGATAATTTTAGCACTATGCGGAGAGGGAGATTCAAACTCTTAGGCCATCTTTAACGGGCCATCTTTAAGGGTCTTAATCCAATTAAAAATACCAAAATATAGAAACAGTAAAATTGGAAGAAGCAAACGGGTGTTAGTTAAGACTCTTTTGGTTTGGGTTCTTCTGCCATGTGTTAATATGTGAGTGGCTGCATAAATTGTAAATGAAAATTAATCTTTTGTTAGAGAAAATGAAATTCTCAATAAAAATTCCCAATAAAACTCCTAAAAGAAAATAAAAATTAATCTTTTGTTGGAGAAAATAAAGGACAGTTTTAAGGTTTTGGTGGGAAAACACGATTTTACGGTTTTGGTGGTAAAACACGGTTTTACTGTTTTGGCAAGAAGATGAAAAATTACTATGTTTGTCTAGAAACACAGTTTGAATTTTGTTTATTACATAGTTTGTGAATCATGTCTTGGTATCCATCTATGCGACAACAGTATAGTCTTTACTCTTTAGCTTATGACCACTTTTATAAATTGGTTTTTCTAGAAAACTTACTCATATTGTTTAATTTTTAATGTTGGCTACTAATGATAATTTTAGCACTATGCGGAGAGGGAGATTCAAACTCTTAGGCCATCTTTAACGGGCCATCTTTAAGGGTCTTAATCCAATTAAAAATACCAAAATATAGAAACAGTAAAATTGAAAGAAGCAAACGGGTGTTAGTTAAGACTCTTTTGGTTTGGGTTCTTCTGCCATGTGTTAATATGTGAGTGGCTGCATAAATTGTAAATGAAAATTAATCTTTTGTTAGAGAAAATGAAATTCTCAATAAAAATTCCCAATAAAACTCCTAAAAGAAAATAAAAATTAATCTTTTGTTGGAGAAAATAAACATAAACTTAATTAATATGTTTGTATCTTTTTATGTTACTTATTTTAATTAATATATTTGTATCTTTTTATGTTACTCATTTTAATTAATATGTTTGTATATTTTTATGTTTCTTATTTTTATCTTCATTGTTATTATTTGTTATTAATAATTTTGAATTGAATTCCCAATAAAATTCTCAAAAGAAAATAAAAATTAATCTTTTGTTGGAGAAGATAAACATAAACTTAATTAATATGTTTGTATCTTTTTATGTTACTCATTTTAATTAATATGTTGGTAACTTTTTATGTTTCTCATTTTTATCTTCATTGTTTTTTTATTTGTTATTAATAATTTTGAATTGTATTTTCTTTTTATTTTTATTTTTGAACCTGTATTATGTTCATTTTTATAAGTTTTCAATTTATTAAATATTTATTTAATTTTAAAAATTTATAATACGTTTTATATCATTATATTATTTAAATTTTAAGATTTTAGAGGTTCAACCAATAATCAACTCTATATTTGTGGTTCTTAACTTAAACTATTACAATATTAATATGCTTAAAAATTACTAAGAAACATTTTCTCACTTATACCTTTAAAGATGCTCTTACTTCATATTTGAAGAGATGGGATCGCCAGTTTGCTAAAGAATCAAAGATACGTATTTTTCTTTTAATATCTTAAACTTAATTCTATAGTTAATCTTTTGGTATTATTATTATTTGCATATATCTCTCTTATAATTTACTTATAATTTACTTATATTTTGCTCATATTTTGCTTTATCGTAAATTTATTATTTCTGATTTTAAAAGTTATGATAAATTATAATGTCTTGATCGATTTGTAAATAATAAATAGGCTTTCATTAAATTAATTGTAATATTATTTTGACATCTAATACGGTTACTCGATTTGGCAGAACAAATATGAGTAGGATTTTAAATTGAAAGTTGATGACATGTTCCAATTTCCAAAGTATAATGAAAAAAAAGTTGTTATTTTTTTGTTTAATAAGCTTCAAAAAATAATTAAGAAAAAGCACCGATAAAGAAACTAATTAATCCATCGTCTTCTCCCTCCCTACATCGAAAATCATATCCAATTTTCAAAGGTTTATTCTTTTCCATCTCCTTTTTCATTTAGTAATTTTTATTTATGAATACACTTCTAATTCTCTAAATACACAACAAACACAACTAATTAGTTAACTAAATTTTAATTCTCAGCCTTAATTGTCAATTTCAAGATTTTCACCTGCTTTTTGAAGTTGGCAATGAACTTTCAGCTCAACCAAAGGATATTGGATTGCTTGCGATAGGGCAATACACGAAGCATCGCAATCTAAATCTCCATGAAATGGTGAATACTTCAGATAGGAATAATGGAGATGACGCTTTGCAAAAATTACATCGACAGTTCAAAGATGGAGGAAGGTTTGAAAGCGTATGTGTTATAAGTCTACAAGCGGAATTTGGTTCATAAATCAAAGAAATAGTCGATGAAAACAAGTATTACCTTGGACCATTAGTTCTGCATTTTTAGCAGCTTTGAATCTTACTTAATTTGTTAAATTACACATTATCCATTAAAATATATATATATATATATATATATGTCAAATTTTATAATTATTCAATTCACATTTTTCATATTTTTTTTCGTTTTATCATTTTGTTATTTTAAATATTGAAATTATTCTTTGTAAATTCTTGTTTTTATTTACTGAATAATAATATTATTAAGTTTGTATTCATTTGGACAATACCATAGATAGCCTCATTTTAAAAACAAATTAACAAAATATTTATATGTCAGTTTTCTTAGGTAACACTAACTCTTTTTGTGGTGCGGTAAGGTGAGATAAATACTAAATTAACCTATTTATTAATAGATTTTTTTTTAAATGACATGAAACGAATAAATATAGCATATTATCTGAAATGAAAATTTTAAAATTTGGAAAATCTGATGTGTATTTTACTATTTTATAAGAATAGCATGTCATTTTGAAAAAATATAATACAACGACATACTGTAATTTTTGAAAGAAAAACATATCATTCAATAAAATATCATGAAATATTTTTAAAAGAATGTGTTATGTGGAGACATAATATGTTTCTACTGTTAAAATCATGTTTTGGAAAAGGCCATATGCGATTTTAATAAAAATATATGTAATACATGACAACATTAGAAAATAAAATGGTGAATATTAAGATAAAAATAAACATAATTGGTTGAGGGAGATTCCAAGAAAACTTTAGGGGGGTTATTGAATCATTGATTTTGTTGGATTTGGAAATCCAAACAAAAATCCTACGTTAATCAATTATTGATTTTAAAATAACTTTCAAACTCATATCTTATTGGTTGTATGAATTATAAATACTAGTTAAAATCCTATGTTATTCGTTTAGTGATATGTTTTTGGATTTTAAAATCCGCAGTATGTTTTAAAATGAATTTGAAAGGATTTGACAGTGTAAAATAGAAGAATTCAAATCCAAGGATAAAACATGTTATTTCAAAATCCATGTATTCTGATTTCATAAATAATAAGGATTCACAAATTCTAGGTGGATTTACAAATCTATAAACCAATAACTCCCCCCTTAGGTTCGGTGAGAGAAAGATAAATATCTCTAGTTGTTGTAGGAATGAGAGAAGACCTATCAATATAGCCTAAATTTGTTCACTAGAACCAATATTAGGATATTTAGGCCTTGAATGACAACCTTAATAAGCTTCTATTACACCAATCAAACACTTTTGATCAGTTCGCAGTATTTTAAAATAGAAAATAAGAAACCGCTTCTAACTTTTGGTATATCTTGTTTAACCACTAACCAATAACGCATTGTTCAATAGTTAACTCCACATATGGTGAGGGACCTTAAAATCCGCTTTTCATATTTATTCAATTAATAATAAATTAATAATTAAGTAATAAAAATTATAAATAACAAAGTAAATAATAATATATGTTTGTATAATAATATAAAGTAAATAACAATATGTTTTTAATATATTCTCCTCTATAGAAAAGTACTTTCATGGGTCAATTTAATCTATATACCCAACTAAAAAAAAATGTATCCTTCTTTCTTTCATATTTAGTTCTCTCTCTTTCTTTCTTTTTTACCATATGTATCCTCTATTTTAATTTTAATTACAAAAATGCCATTATATTGAAATGATTACTTAGTTTAAAAATGTTAGCGATACTGTTCATAAACCGATCGATAACACTATTATCCAAAATCAACAACTACTGTTCATCACTCTATAACTATTTAGTTAGCATGCTAAATAATATACTATCATGATAAGTATACATTTTGGTATTCATATCATGATAAATATTAGATTAACACGATAACAAAATATATACTACAATAATTTTTAAAATAAAACATTGTTATCCAAAATCGACAACTATTGTTCATTACTCTATAACTATTTAGTTAGCATGCTAAATAATATATTATCATGATAAGTATACATTTTAGTATCCATATCATGATAAGTATTAGATTAACACGATAACAAAATATATATTACAATAATTTTTTAATATACAAAATGTTAAATCATATTGTATCATGATATGTTTAACATTTATGTGATAAGTTCATACTCATCGTAATAAATAATAACAATTAATGATAACAATAATAATATCACTTTAACTAATATTATATCTAGCTAATAATTTTGTTATTTTGTTTCTAACATCTAACACACACAAAAAAAATGAGATAAATACATATATTGAAAATAGGGGCAAAAGATTCTAAAATTAATATACAGTACACTATAAACCTAGGAAAGAAAGAGAACTAATTAATCAATCTTCTATGGCTAGTCTTTAGTAATACTCTACTTTCATTCTTTCATTTCTAATTATCTTAGTACAAATTTAATAAAATTTCAAACTAATATTTACGTTTCGTAAATAATATAAAAATACTTTATCACTAATTAAACTCTCAAATTTATAATTTATAATTATACTAACCTCTTGTCAAATACCACTTTTCAAAAATATCCAATCTTTCAAATTTTATCAAAAAGGCCACTAAAATTTAATATTTAGTTTTTCACTTAAAATTTCATTAATACATGGTAGGATACATATGCTCAAACAAGGGAAACTAAAGCCAGCAGACGACATAAATGTCTCTGGCGTCAAAGCCGGAGGAAGACTAGATTTCCCCGGAATCTAAGACCAAACAAAAGAGGAATACAACACAAATCTTTAAAGCAGGAATAACTAACGATCAAAACCTAACACTTAACCACAAAAGCAACTCGACTTAAACCGAAAAGCTAATAGAATCCAAGAAAGCAAAAAGACCTCTTCTTAGCAAGAAACCAGTGAATGAAAGTTACCAAGGATGCCTATAGCCAATCAGAAAATGATAACCTCTACCTCCTCCTATCACAATGAGAGCCAAACTCTCGAAACCAAGAACCAAGACTTCATGATCCGCCAAGCAAGACACATAAATGGAGAACAAATATGCTTCGCTTCCGAATACAGCGTCGACGATTACAACGTCAAACAACACCAGTTACCACCTAATTAGAAGTCTTCAAACGCTAACAGACCTCAACAGATCTCGAAAGCTAGAAAAGGAGAGAAGTCAAACCCCTCGAGTCACACCATCCTCAGAAACGAGAACGACAACACGATCAAGCTAACACCCACAACGACACCCAACAACCAACACTAAGAAGAGGGACTGCAAACTAAGGAAACTAAGCCCAAATTCAGAGAAATCGAAGCTCCTGCTAGGAAAGAGATCAAACCAGCAAGGGATTAAAAGCTGAGTTGAGAGAACAACAAGAAAGCAAAGGCCAAGGCTGGACTGACTAGATCACGTCCAAACTCCAGACTCCACCGGCTGCATAAAAAAAACATCATTACATATCTAGGATGAGGAGCAAAGGGCGTTTTTACACAACCGCAACACAGATCTGATAGATCCATAATCATCCTCTTTGCTGGCTCCACCAAAACAACTAGCTCTGACCACACGACCGCTCCCGTTGAAATCCCAGAACCGTTGCACAAACAAAACCATATCCCACAGCTCAAAGACCACACAAAGACAAACCTTAAACTAGGCATAGAACTAACTAAGAAATCAGAGAGGGAGACCAGAGCCAGTGCTAAAAAAGCCACCGCACTCCGGTCTCGGAGCTGAAAAATTTTGGTCGACGACGCCTAGGTTTGAAGAGTTCTCGCGAGAGAGAAAAGGGAGGGAGTAGGTTTTGTTGTACTTCTCTTTTAAGTTTTTAACTATGATGTGGCCACTAAAAATTAATATATTTGTAAAATATAATATATATTTTATATAAATACCGTATAATATTTTTTTTAAACCTGTTTAAAACCCTTTTAAAAACCACTATAAACTTTTTTTAAAAACCTTGGATATTTTAAGGTTCTTATATATATAATAATATTTATCATCAACACAAATAAATAATATGAAATCCGCACGGCAAATAATTTTTCACCAATCAATCATTATTTTGCACTGTTTATGTTGCATTAACCGCATTTTTCACGAAAATTTCTTGTGCCGTATGTACCACAGTTGAGCCGTACCGCACTATCAAACCATTTGTTCCGCACAACCAAATCCGTTATCACCACTCGGACCCTAAAATATTTGGATTGAAAGGGATATACAGTATAATACACTACAAATAAATGAGGAGGTAATGTAACTTTCTTACCTTTTCCAACAATTTACTTTTCATGAAAATTATTTACTTATTTCTCTATCATATTATGTATACTCAAACAATTTTAGTTTTAATGTTCCTTTTAAGAAAATAAGATATGTGAATCTCACATAAAAAGTAAAATATAATGACAGGTATACTCATGGCATTTCTCTGACTTATGCAGCTTAACCAACATTAATAGTTTAATATCAAGAACATCGTCTCAGTCGATATTAACAACCCAACATTATAAAAAAAAGAAGTCAGAAGTTACAAAAATTAACTAAAAACTTCCAACCAAAACAAATTACATCAAAATACGAATTATATATATATATATTATACGTGCATGAAGGAATTAACCCTAAAAAACCCCAAATCTTCTTCCTAGTATCCTGTCGGAAACTCGCATCTTCCATACTCTGCATATTCACATTAACCCAAACAAATCAGATTCATAAAACCAAACATAAAATATCTTAAACAAACATCATTGGATTCTCTTTTTAAGACAAAGATGACGTAAAGCCATAACACTAGTGGTCTCTATGTCCACGTGGGAACATTTGACTCCTGTCATCCACACACACATACACACACAACCCTCTAAAAATACGCTAACCTAATCAAAGCCTAGGTTAGCATTAAACCCCCCACACCTACTCTTAACATGCGCCACACTAATAAAAGAGTAGATAGATGAAGAAACTTACTTGGTGGCTGGCTAACGACGTAAGCGGCGCCGCCGAAGTAACAACTCCCACCGGCACGACCTTTCTTCTGATAATAACTATTAAACGCAAACGAAGCGTGAGCTTCAAGTGTATCAGGACTATAACAATTAGCACCAGGTTGAATCTGACTACAATCAGCACCACCTTCACCACAAGCGTAATCTAAACCACCTTGTAACCTTTCTTTACCAGCGTCACCATTAGCTACACACCAAGACTGACCATTCAAACTCTTTGATACACCACCACTCATAGGTGGTGTAGTGACTTGGTGATCTCCGGTGACCGGAGTATTATGACCACCACCGTCATGGTATTGTTTAAGCCCTTCAGTAGTGAAAGGTATGTCGTAAACTTTCTTCTCATCAGGGAAGAAGAGACCATAGTTTCTCTCAGACGTTGGACCTAACTTCTTGTTCTCGTTAAACAAAGCGAAGAGATACACCGTTAGATCTGCTTTAGGTCGTAATGGTGTACCACCACGTGTCAAGATCCTACGGATTAGGTTTCCGTTGTAAGACGCTGCGTTTGCTATGGTTGCTCCGACTTCATTCTCGTCTCCTTTCGATGGCCAGCCAGTTTCTGTTACGATGATCTCGATGTCATCGTACTTTAAAGCCGACATAGCTGCGAAGACAGCATCGATCTGAGCGTCGAAGAGGTTAAAGTATCTTAAACCATTGCCTGAATCAACCATTCCTGGATTCTCTCTAAGTAAAGCGTAGTCTAAAGGGATGACATCAGAGTTGCCTTCGTAAGCAAAGAAAGGGTAGACATTAATCATGAGTCTTGAACCAGTTTCTCGTAAGAAGTCAAGCATTGGTTTGATAACAGTTTCAATGAGTTCTGGTCGGAAAGATCCGGAAGAAGAAGGGTAAGAGTTTTGAAGAGCGCTTAAGGCAAGAGGAGAAGAGATTTTAATGTCTGAGTGGAGATTGAAACTGATTAAAGCTTTGTGGATGTTTCTCATTGCAGGGATAAGGTAGTTTGTGGTATTGTGTGGATCAACAAAGACTTCGTTACCAACAGCTATTGATTCGATCTGTGTTGAAGGATGATAAGCAGCTACATTGCGTTTGACCCATGAAGCTGCAAAGGAAGGTCTTTTAGCTGCGGAGAAGAGGATCTCGTTAGGAAGATCTACTGTGACTTTGATATTAGATCCGGATAAAGCTTTGAGTACTGATGGGTCTGCGTCAAAGATCTTGACTCTGTTGATTCCTTGAGATTTCAGGAGTTGGACTACTTTGAATGCAGATGGTAGTTCATCTGAGATTCGACCGTAGTTTACACCAATGGTACCAGCATCTGTATAATGAGATAATCAAAACATAAGAACAGAGTAATGAGAAAGAACAGAACATAAGAACAGAGTAATGAGTAAAAACAGAACATAAGAACAGAGTAATGAGTAAAAACAGGACATAAGAACAGAGTAATGAGAAAGAACAGAGCATAAGAACAGAGTAATGAGAATGTGATTATGTAATGTTTGTTACCTGAGAGATGAAGGGGTGAGAGGAGGATGAGGAAGAGGAGAGGTGTAAGAAGATGAAGATCCATACTCAGCTTCTTGGTGAGAAGAGAGTTGGAGAGAGAGGAGATGAGAGGTTAAGAAGGAGCTAGCCACAGAGATTTTAGGGTTATAGAGAGAGTGGTGTTGAGGAGAGTGAGGTGAGGGTGGAGTAGTAAAGTGGTGGTGAACAGCAGAACAGGTAAAGAAGACTGAGTCTTATTTATTATCCAGAGGAATTAATAAGTGAATTATTTGTTTTTTTTAGAGTATATTCACATGTGACATGTCAAATAATTTTGTATCAGCTTCTTCCACTATCCCATCATTTCACATGTTTTTTGCAGTTTGTTTATATATGTGTGCTTAGAGTTTACAGCTAATCATGAGTTGAATTGATTGGGTTTTTATGAATCTGAATCATTTGGTTTTTTTTGTTTTTGTTTTACGTAATGTTGTGTTTTGTATAATTAGATACTAGCAGTAAATTTGTTCATATATGGTAACATTGAAATAAAATACAAAATAAATGTAAGTAAAAAACAATAATAGAGCCATAGAGATAACATTGCACGCCGACCCTACCCATGTTTGGTAACACCTTAGATTTGTTGGCTTTTTGATTAGCAATGTGAGATAAATCTCCCACAGTAGAAAATACCAAAAAAAAAAAAAAAAAAAACAGAACAGTCGATATGTTTTAAAAGATTTTAGTATTTGGATTAAAAAATTTATTGAGACATAAATAACTTTGTTTTTCTAATCTAAATTGCTAGTTAACATGTAGCTTTGTTCTTCTAATCTAACTTGATAATTAAAAATAAAATAAAAATAAACCTTCACGTTAGAGGTATATGTTGGGTACTAGAGTAACAAGTTGTTACTAACAATGTTTCAAAAACAACTATCTATACTAGTTTCCATGTAATATAGCATTTCAACTAGATTTTTTCTATATTTTTAGTCTTTGTACAATTTCACATATACGATATATATTCTATCAAATTTCATCCAAATTAAATAATTTTACTCAATTAACCAAATACATTTATCTGCTATGATTAAAGAAGCAGTTCAATGTATTTTCATCATTATAGTGGTTTAATTGTATACTTTTTAGTTAAAAATTACACTTATGAAGTAAAAAGTCATTATGTAATTCATAAAATTGTTATAATTCTAAAGAATTACTTTTGTCAATACTATAAAATTTTTTTGTAAATTATAATAAATTATGTTAAAACTGTAATAAATTATTAAAAGAATATAGTTAGTAGTTTAAGTAAACATTATAATCCAATGTTAAAAGCAAAAAGACCAAAAAAAAACAAAAAAAAATCTATGCAACTTTTAAATAAAACAAAATATTAGTTTCTCGAAGTAGTTGAGCTTGAACTTAATATTTGCAACCACCAAAATTAAGTTTTAATTTTCTTCTCCAAACATTCTTTCTAACAAAGATTTTCAACCGCATTCTCTAACCGTCTTATTAATTAGTAATCGTCTAAGCAATTGGCTTGCAAATACTGTTATCATAAGTTAAGTTGCAACTCGTATATTAAAGTCAAAAACACTACAATCATTCACTTTATTTAGCTTCAGAATTTAAACATTATTTTAAAAATTTCTCCTTTGGTTGAGAAGACAAAAAAAAGTGAGCCTGTAGAAATGTCTAAAGATTCCTGACGACCTAGCTACACAAAAAAATTTAAGAAAAAAATAATGATAAAGAAGACTTTGAAATTGCTAAATTTTGAAGAGATCGAGATAGTGGGCAAAAAATGAGAGTGACACCCCACATGACAGAAGAAGAGAGCCGTTTGCAGAACACGATGCATTGCCTCGTGCCTTGCACTCTCTCTCTCCCTCTCGTAGTATTAGTCTCACTGTTGCTCTTCTTGTCTCCTTCCACACGTGTGTGCTCGTGCCTGGTACTGTTAAATGTGAGTTGAAGTCTATAACCAAGTTACATTTCCCTAACTAATAAAGAGATGGTTATTAGCTGGTTTAGTTCTGGTTTAACAGCTAAAACCAAATGTGCAACAAAAAATGTTTGGTTCGGTTTTGAAAGTTGTTTCTCGTTCGATCTCTTTCTTTAGGGCAATATTATTGGTGGGATCTTAACAAGTATCTTAAGCTAAGATTTAATATTATTTTATATAAGATCAAATCTTAAATAACAAATGTTAGCTTAAAATACTTGTTAAGATCCCACCAATAATATTGGTCTTAAGGCCAGAAAATAAATGCTATATATATTTTTAAATCTTTGTGTTAAGTTTTAAATGGCTGTGGCAGATGGAAAGTATAAAAACGTTTGTGGATTTATCTATTGTTTACCGTTCATAAATTGTATTTCATAATGACTTTTCTAAAAATAATATGTGACTTTTCACATACAAAAATATCTACTAGTTGAATTTTTATAATCTGTTTTAAAAAATAAAATTGAAACAAGTTGACGCTTTAAGCAATCACTTTTTAAGATTCAAACTTTTTATTGTCTACATGTACATAATTTATTTTGATTCGACAAACTAGGGTTCACAGTTTTTCTATTGTGAGAATTGCTATTTACACATGATTTAAACCATATCATCCTCAACTTTGGTAAAATTTCTCAAAAGTTTTTGAATATATTCACGAATTTTTTAGGAGATTATAAGTAGTATTTCGATTACAGATTTTAGATTTTGCAAAAAAAAATTAAAAAACAAATGGAACTTAAAAAAAAAACTCACTGAAATGAAATTTTGGATTTTATTAGAAAATTGGTTAAAAAAAATACCTTAAATACCAGATTCTCTACATTTTTGAGAATTCAATTTTCTCAAAAAAAATTAATAGATAAAAAATAAATTTTGGAAAATCTATTTGAAAAAACCATTAAGGGCTAAGGCCAATCTTATTTCTTACTCGCTTACTCAATAGAATAAGCTTCTCCAGTCACCAAAGTAATATCCAAAAGCCCATTACATATACTTTTTCTGCTAGTCCAGTAATGTTGTACTCAGCACCCTCTAATAGGCTCTTAATGGGCCATATCTTAACCCAATCAAAACGCTAGGGTTTACAAGAACAAGACTAGGGTTTTAAACTTAAGCCGACTCGTCCCCTCTATATAAAATCAGATTCTCTCTTCTCTCTCATATCATCATCAACTTTTTCAACACAGATCTTTACATTTTTTGTTTTCTCTGTTTACGAATTCGAGTTTTTTTTTTGTTTTCTCTGAGTTTTTGTTATATCTCTCCCGATGAAGAAGCAATCCCATAGATAGGAAGTGCCGTATGACACTTTACACAACAACGGACTTGAACGAGGATTGCATCCGGTGAAAAACCCATCCCCCGATCAGTCTAACCCGGATTCGTATCCGGATCCAAACCCGGATCCGTTTACGATCGGGTACTTGACTCCTCGGCCGGGTCTTTCACCGTACTTCCCACCGTTACTGTGTCCGTTGTGTGGGTGATTTGACAAGGGTTCGCTGAGGGGTTATTATTGTCTTTTTAATTATAAATTGTCCGATGCCACGTCGACGGTAGCTTCTAATGGCTATGATCCTCGATGCTACATTGGACATAAACAAATGTACGTGTTTCGCTTACTGATAGGAACCTGTGGATCTTTGATATTATTACACGATCTACGGAGCCATTTCGGCGATTACATTTTGTCTTTTTGCTGTTTTTTTTTTTTTTTTTGATTATTTGGGATAATTACCGATGATGATTATTGCTAAACTATGGAATTACCGTCTGAGTTTACTCTTTGACGAGAAAAACGCTGGCTTACTGAGGTCTTCCCAATTCTTACACAGTGACTTTATTGTTAAATTGAGATTATGTTAATTACCCTAATAATTAGGACAGTTTGATGGAACTCAATGACTTTTGTCTTGACGAGAATCCAATTTATTGCTAGCTGTTTCTTATAATCATGTATGGACTTGAGATTATTTGCTTTAAGTTAGTTTTGAACTTTGTATTTGAAATCATAAACAGGTAATTGAGATTATTATGTTAATTATCCTAATAATTAGGACAGTTTAATTTAATAAATGACTTCTGTCTTGACCAGAACCTAATTTATTACTAAGCAATTTCTCTTAATCGTTTTGGACTTGAGATTTGAAGTTTTAGAGCTTTGTGTTATACCAGTGAAAATCTGTTAAATTTAGATTGTGTGATGATTAAGAACATCTGTCTTGACCAGAACCCAATTTATTACTAATCAATTTCTCTTTATCATGAGTTGGACTTGAGATTTGAAGTTTAAGAACTTTGTGTTATACCATTAAAACCTGTTAAATTGTGATTGTCTTGATGGTTAAGAACATAATGATCATTGTCTTCACCAGAACCCTAATCTTGTAATGATGATTAATCTCTTACCAAACAAAACAAAAACAAAAAAATGTGATTTCAGTAATGATTTATTTAATCTACATTGGAATATGAAAATATTGAATTTTTAAACCGAGGGTCGTAAATTAGAGACCACTACTAACAAAAAAAAATGAATTAAGAGCAATCAAAGTGTGTTGGTGGACTAGTACTACTATGTAGGAGGGAAGAATCTGTTGAGGTTAAAAGGCAAAGTGTAGAACTCTTCATTACGGTTATCTCCTCTGAAGGTTCTGAACTTAACCCACCAAGGCATGCCTCTGTCTTTCTTTGATCTTTCTACTTCCATTGTGTTGTCCAAGAACACTGCTATGATTAGACCAACTGTTGCTGGTGACATGAATATTGTGTTTAAGAATGCGTTGAACCATCCTGCGTTTGTGTGAACTAGTCCGTGATGTCTCTCGTCCCAGTAGTTAACGAAGAACTGAGGTATTGAGATTCCGAGGAAGAGTGATAGACCGGTGATCATTAGGTTTCTCATGGAGTTCATGTTTGTGAATTGGAGAAATGAGAGACCAACCGCAGCTGCAAACAAAGATAATACAAATGAGTAATGACATAATGTAATAAAATGTTTTCTTCAGTGAGATGATGTTTGTTGTTGTAATGGTGGTTTTACCAACAAGGCCGAAGAGAACACAGTGTAATGCTGCGTATATCGGGACTGGTATCGATGCGAAAACAGCTCCAAATTTGCCTATCCAACCAAAATATCAAAATCACATGAGGAGATGCTAACAGCTTATAGGCATTAGGCAGAATGAGTTAGTTATCAACTTCTCATAATCAATGTAGAGAAGAAGATCATAAGTATGAGTTAGTTTTTGTACCCAATGTAGAGAAGAAGATCATGAAGCCTGCTGAGACTTGAACAACACGACGGCTACCAACTCTTGTTAACCCAAGAAGTCCTACATTCTCACTGCAAACACCTTTATTAGAGAGTGTGTGAATATGTGAAAACATAGAACAGTAGCTTCCAAGAAGTTGCTTTACTTACACTAGAACAGTAGAACCTGTGCCTGTTCCGAAAAGACCATCAAGCAATACACCAATGCCCTGAGTTTTTAACAAGAAACATAACAGATAAGATATAAGAGAAGTCTAGAAGGTGGGATATGTATTTGGATGTGTCTCCCCATCACACTACTGATTCACCTGCCATCCAATGCCTCTACTCAATACATAAGCAGGAGGCGGCGTGGCTATGGCTAATCTTGAAGCTGCCATGTAAGCTCCAGTAGACTGCAGAATCCATTAACTTAACCATCACATTTCATAGCAAACTTAAGTCACTTGCAATGAACCTAATAATGCTCTCTGCTTCTTTACCTCGACCATGGATACAAGAACCGCAGACATCATAGCAAACGAATGGCCTACTGAAAATGTTGGAGGTCCCCATTGGAGAGGGTATGGAAACTTGAACCTAATGACACATTATAAACACAATGAGATGTTGACAATGTAACTACAATACATAAGGATACTGAGCCTGTTGAATACCATGGAGCTGTTGATATAAGATTTGCTTGGTCTGTTCTACAACTCTGTTGTGTAAGATGTGGTTTGCCTCTATAAGCTCCACTTGCGGTAAGGATTATGGCATAAATCCAAACAATCGTCACACAGATCAAAATAGGAAACCTTTCAAAGATTGGGACATCTTTAAATGGTCTGACATGTTTTAGATACTGCCAAGAAGAAAAAGTAGCATAAGACAAGAGAGAAATAACTTGGAAACCAAGCTAATAAAGTCAAAACAAGACTAAGCTTTTACTTGGGTTAGTCCAATGACAAGCAATAGCATCGGTAATCCAATCTCAATGCAGTTCCCAAGCTATAAAACAAAGAGAACCAAAGTTTAATAAATACATTTTGTTGATGTTTAATGCAAAAACAGTGGTGTGAAGTGAGGCTTTGTATGAGTTACCTGAGGAAACCCTCTCTGGAACATCCCAAGACCAACCAATCCAACAACTGGTGCCATACCAAGAGGACTAAAGAACCTGAAGTTGAAAGCAAGTAATGAATTTGAATAAAAATTACCATAGTTAAGCCAATGAATGTGTCTTTCAAAAACAAAAACAAAGAAAAGTATGATATAAACCTAGAGAATAGACCCCAAACTTGGCTGTAACCAAGAATGATCTGTATACTCGACGCTACAATCAAAGCACCTTGTATAGCTCGCATAGTGTGAATAAACCTCTGCAAGAAACATACAACATTATATTGATATCTACACAAAAAAACAAACAATCTTGTGACAATATCATTAGACTTTTTTACTCACCTCATGGTCACTGGAGATTTTTTGCAAGGAAGAGTCACTAATAATGTAAGCAATAGGGACAACATAAGCAAAAGAGCCACCAACAACAGCAGGCAACCTAGTACCAAAAAGAGCTTGGAGAAGTGTCTTGATACCAGCTACAAAGAGTAATGTTTGTATAACCCTTGCTTTATCTCCCTTAAGACACACCAAAGCAGAAAAGATTAAACATAGATACTGAAGAACAGAACAAACAAACACTAATAAGCCAATTGAGCAAAAGGGTATTACATTAGAGCCACCCATAGCGTGAACAAGCAATGTGGGTATAAAAACACTTGATCCAAGCATTAGAATGTAGTTTTGAAACGCTAGTAACACCGTTTCAGCTGCAAATAAACATTCAAAGTTAGCAACCCAAGTGGTTCAATTGTAAAAAAACTCAAAATAGAAACTTTAAAGACAGAACAAAGGAGTCTAACTAAAGACACAGAACACCATAGAAAGGTTTGGTTTTTGTATAACTAGAATGTAGTTTTGAAATGCTAGTAACACAGTTTCAGCTGCAAATACACATTCAAAATTAGCAATATCTATCTAAACACTCGAAAAATAGAAACTTTAGAGACAGAACAAAAGAGTCTATTGAGACAAAACACCATAGAAAGGTATGGTTTTGTATGATTAGAATGTAGTTTTCAAATGCTAGTAACACAGTTTCAGCTGCAAATACACATTCAAACTTAGCAATATCTATCTTAAACACTCGAAAAATAGAAACTTTAGAGACAGAACAAAAGAGTCTATTGAGACAAAACACCATAGAAAGGTATGGTTTTGTATGATTAGAATGTAGTTTTCAAATGCTAGTAACACAGTTTCAGCTGCAAATACACATTCAAACTTAGCAATATCTATCTTAAAAACTCGAAAAATAGAAACTTTAGAGACAGAACAAAAGAGTCCATAGAGACAAAACACCATGAAAGGTTTGGTTTTTGTATGATTAGGAATAAACTAATGAGGTAATTAGTTAATTAAATATAATATTCGATTGAAATAAAACTATAAAGTATCTCTGAAACGTTGCAAAAGAGAGGAGAAGACGTACGCCAAGAAGGGTTAGAGTCGATGCAATATTCAAGGTCTTGAAGTTGTTCCATAGGAGGATGAGTTATCTCCGCCATTAGAGAAGTTAACAAACAAACACAGAGGAAGAAGAAGAAGAAGAAGAAGAAGAAAAGTAAAAGTAAAGAGAGATATAAAGTAGTGAGGAAAAAAGAAAGAAAGAAAAAAAAAGGAATATGCAAAGAAGAAAGAAAAAAATGGAAATAGAGAGAATTTAGAAAAGCTTCTCTTTCACAAAACTCTTCTGTAAAAAAACTTTGTGTTCTCTTCTTCTCTCTCTCTCTCTTCCTCTGGCGTGGTGTTGATGAGTGAGTTTCTTCTTCTTCTTTTGTTTTTGTTTTTGTTTTTGTTTTTGTTTTTGTTTTTTGTATTTTTGGGTTTGAATTAAATTGGTTGAGGAAATTACGGATTTGGCCCTGATTCGTTTGTTCTATTGTAGCCAATTAAAAGCTTTTGTAAGGTGGGGGGTCTAGTTTATAACAGAGTCAATTAATTCTCAGGTTTTTTTGGATTTTTGAAATTTGTTGTTGTATTGTGCATGAGAGAGATCTTTAAATGCAAAATCTTCTCCTACTTTGTTTTTTTTTTTTTTTTTTTGGATTTATTTGTTACTTTTACTGTTTTGAACTGATTTTTTTAATATGTTTCATAATATAATATGTTCTGAATAATTTATTTTACATATAATTTTTTTTATAACGTTACAAATTATACGTTTTTCTTTGTCTCTTTTTGGGAGGGACGGGGTTCAAATTTATACGTCTATATGTAAATTATACGTTAATTACATATTTAATAGTTATATTATGTAGTTTTTTCGTGATATGTTAATCTTTTTTAAAGTAGATATTTTTGTCTACTTTTACTATTTTCTACAGGATTTTTTATCTGTTTCAAAATATTTATGTGTCTATATTTATTTTTTACATTTAATTTTTTCTACATCGTTATAAATAGGTCTCTTTTTGGAAGGAACTGGGTTCGAGTTTATACGTCTATATGTAAATTATACGTCAATTAAATATGTAATAGTTATATTATGTAGTTTTTTCATGATATGTTAATCTTAATCTTTTTTAAAGTAGATATTTTTTTAAACTACTTGTTTTTAATGAAAATATCATATGTTTTAAAACAGATAAAATAGCGTTTTAAACCTCCTCCAAATAATTGATAAATAGAAATGTGGTAACTTAAATAAAATAAATTTCATTGCTTTATCATTATTTTTTTAAAACCCAATTGCTATTTTCCACATCATATTTTATTGAATATAGTTTTAAATTATACCAAAAATGATCCACTTTTTTTTGGTATTATAGATTCAGTTATTATTACAGTTCAGAGGTTTTCCGGTTAAATATAGAATACTCCCTCTGTTTTAGAATAGATGATCATTTAAGCAAATGCACACTAATTAAAAAATCATTCACGTTTTGTTTTTTTTTTAAACATCATTTAATATCTACTGAAACAAATTCAACTAAAGAATTACTTTTTCAGAATAAAATTAATAAAAACAATAAAACAGTATTTGTTGGAAAAAAGAAACAGTATTTAATTTTGCATAGGTTTGTGAGAAAATTCTCTATTAAAAAAGAAAACTGAGAATTTCATAGGGACTATAAGTTTTTGATTAATGTCAAAGATTGCAAACACAATTATCTTTTTTTTTTTTTTTTACATAATTATCTACTTTTCAGCATGCTTTATGATCTCTCTATCTCTCTCTTTTTATGGTAAAAAGAGCCCAAAATTAACTTAAGTTGTTGAAATTCGCAAACCCATTGGACAGAACATAAATATCATTCAGGCATGCATATGGTTTATCACGTGTTTATTTATACTTTATATCTTCCTTAATTGTTTGTGACAATACAAAATCTTTTAACATATTAATAGAAAACAATTTGGTGTAACAAGAATAAAGACTGCATTAATGTCCTCTCCCAAATACTCTCCTCGGAAGAAAGAGATTTTTTTTTTTAAAAGAAGAGAATTTTTTTTTTCGAATAATTTTAATATGATTATGAATATTGTAATTTTTTTTCTTTGTTGTTATTTGTTTGGCAGTCGCACATGTAATAACTACAACTACCGTCAAAAATTCTTCTTTACGGACATGATCATGTAACTAAACGTTGGGATCAATTGCTACAAATAAAATTTTTGATCACAGAAAAAAATTATGATTTGTCGCAAGGATTACAAAACAAACAATACTTGCAAATTTTAAAATCGCAGTTGCTTGTGATTATGAAAATGAAACGAACATGACCTTTATAACGGTCTACTTTATAAGTCTTTAGTTATTTCCTTAATTTAATAAAAAAAATAGTATTGAACTATGTATCATGCTTAATGATAATCTGCTGACAGACAAGGTAGGTTTGTAAACTTATTTTAAAAAGAAATAATAATCTATTTTTTAAACTTACTCAAGAATTTGTTCTGAATCTGATTTGAAATCCTTCAATTTTCTTAGAACTAGTTTTTTTTTTTTTTTTTTTGCTTTTAATCGTTTTTAGTCTCTTTAAATTATAGTAAAACTGTAAAACACTGATCTATATATTGATAATGATCTTTATAAATTTTCCCTAAATTAACAATATTCGATGTAATTGGGGTTT